AGTTTTTGGGGTTCTCTATGTATATTATCATATCATCTGCAAATAGTGATAGTTTGACTTCTTCTTTTCCTATTTGGATTCCTTGTATGTCTTTCTCTTGTCTTATTGCTCTGGCTAGGACTTCCAGTATTATATTGAAAAGCAGTGGTGAGAGTGGACATCCTTGTCTTGTTCCAGATCTTAATGGAATTGCTTTCAGCTTTTCACCATTGAGAATGATACTGGCTGTTGGCTTGTCATAGATGGCCTTTATGATGTTGAGGTATGTTCCTTGTATCCCAAGAATTTCAAGGGCTTTTATCATGAATGGGTGTTGCACTTTGTCGAAAGCTTTCTCAGCATCTATTGATATTATCATATGGTTTTTATATTTCTTTTTGTTGATGTGTTGGATAACGTTGATTGATTTTCGGATGTTAAACCATCCTTGTGTCCCTGGAATGAATCCTACTTGGTCGTGGTGAATTATCTTATGGATACATTGTTGGATTCTGATAGCTAAAATTTTATTGAGGATTTTTGCATCAGTGTTCATTAGGGAGATTGGCCTGTAGTTTTCCTTTTTTGTGTTGTCCTTGTTCGGTTTTGGTATTAGTGTAATGTTGGCTTCATAGAACGTGTTTGGTCTTGTCCCTTCCTTCTCAATTTTTTGGAAGAGTTTGTGAAGGATAGGCACTAATTCGTCTCTGAATGTTTGGTAGAATTCATTTGTAAATCCATCAGGTCCTGGGCTTTTGTTTTTGGGGAGGTTTTTGATTACCATTTCAATTTTGCTAGTTGTAATTGGTCTGTTTAGGTGTTCTATTTCTTCTTTATCTAGCTTTGGGTGATTGTAGAGTTGTAGGAATTTGTCCATCTCTTCTAGATTGTTGAACTTGTTTCCATATAACTGTTCATAGTAGTTACTGATTATTCTTTTGATTTCTGCTGTTTCCGTTGTGATTTCTCCTCTTTCATTGATGATCCTGTTTATTTGTGCTTTCTCCCTTTTTTCCTTTGTGAGCCTGGTTAGGGGTTTGTCTATTTTATTGATTTTTTCAAAGAACCAGCTCTTGGTTTCATTGATCTTTTGGATTTTTTTTTAGTTTCAATTTCATTTATTTCTGCTTTGGTTTTTATTATTTCTTTTCTTCTACTGGTTTTGGGGTTTTTTTTGTTGTCCTTTTTCTAGATCTTTGAGCTTCGAGATTAGGTTGTTTCTTTGAGTTCTTTCTTGTTTCTTGATGTGAGCTTCTATTGCTATATATTTTCCTCTTATTACTGCTTTTGCTGCATCCCATACATTTAGGAAATTGGTGTCCTCCTTGTCATTCAATTCAAAGAATTTTTTAATTTCTTCTTTGATCTCCTCATTAGTCCAGTGGTCTTCCAGTAGTGTGGTTTTTAATCTCTATGAGGTAGGACAGTTCCTTGCCTTCTTTTTATGGTTTATTTCTAGTTTGATGCCTTCATGGTCAGAAAAGATGGTTGGTATGATTTCAATCTTGGTGTATATGTTGATATTTGTCTTGTGCCCCAGTATGTGATTGATCCTGGAGAATGATCCATGTGCGCTTGAGAAAAATGTGTACTCTGTTTTTTTGGGGGTTTAGTGTTCTATAGATGTCTGTTAAGCCCAAATGCGCTAGGTCCTTATTTAGAGCTTTAGTTTCTTTACTTATTTTTTGTCTTGTTGATCTATCCATTGTTGATAGTGGTGTGTTGAAGTCTCCCACTACATATGTGTTCTCTCTGATGTCTGTTTTCAGAGAGGATAACAGTTGTCTGATATATTTTGGTGCTCCTTCGTTTGGTGAGTATATGTTAATGAGTGTTATTTCTTCTTGAAGTATTGTCACCTTGATCATAATGTAGTGACCATTGGGATCTCTTTTTATTTTTTTGAGTTTGAAGTCTGTTTTATCTGATATAAGTATAGCTGTTCCTGCTTTCTTTTTTGGTCCATTTGCTTGTAGGATTGTTTTCCATCCTTTAACTTTAAGCCTATTTTTATCTTTTGTAGCTAAATGTGTTTCCTGGAGACAGCAAAAGGTTGGGTTTTGTTTCTTAATCCAGGCTGTAACTCTGTGTCTTTTTATTGAAGAGTTTAGTCCATTTACATTTAGAGTTAATATTGATATGTTAGCATCTGTATTTGCCATTGTGTTTGTCTTTCCTTTGATTTTATTTATTTATTCTTTTAATAACTTTTTTTTTTGGCCTTTTTTCGTTGTTATTCGTCCCTCTGAGGTTCTGGCTTTAGGATTCCTTGTAGTATTTTTTGGAGTGGGGGTTTAGTCGTAATGAAATTCCAGAGTTTCTGTTTGTCCGGGTCCTCCTTGCCCGTAGTGTTTCTTCGGAGAAGTCTGATGTCAGCCTGATTGGTTTTCCTTTGAATGTTATCTGTTTATTCCCTCTTGTTAGCTTCATTATTTTTTCCTTGTCCTGGATTCTTGGGAGCTTTACTATTATGTGTCTTGCTGTATTTTTCCTTTCGTCATGGAAGTTTGGTGTTCTTCTTTCTTCTTGTATATCAATTTTCAGCTCCTTCTTCACATTTGGGAAATTCTCTTCAATTATCTCCTGGAATATTTTCTCTGTTCCTACATCTCTCTCCTCTCCTTCTGGAATTCCTATAACTCTTATATTTCCTCTCCTCATGGAGTCAGATAGTTCCCGAAGTCTTTCTTTGTTCTTTTTCCTTTGTACTTCTATTTCCTTTTCTGTTTTGGTTCTTTTTATTTCTGTGTCTTCAAGAGTACTTATTCGTTTTCCATTTCATCTATTCTGCTTTCATTGCTTTTCCCAGAGTTCTTTAGTTCCTCGATTAATTCTTTGATCTCCTGTGTTTCTTTTGCTTCCCTCTTCAGGGACTCAATTTCATTCTTCTGACCATTGTTTTCCCTCTTTAGGGACTCAATTTCCTTCTTCTGATCATTGTTTTCCTTTATGAGTTCTGTCATTTTTTTAATCACGGCAATTTTAAATTCTCTTTCTGGAAGGCTCAGAAGTTTTTCCAAGTTACTGTCGTTGCAATCTGGGGGGTGGTTTTCTTTTTGTGGTGTGCTTTTTTCCGGAGGAGTTGTTTGGTTGTGTGTGGTTCTTCTACTCCCTACTGTCTGTTTTCTAATTTGTCATATGCATTGGGACACTGTGTTGCTGGGACTGGCCGGCATCTTGGGTGAGCTTCTCTGCTCCACTCTGGCTCCTCCAGGAGCCATCTGTCAGTTTCAAGCAGTCTTTACTGAAGAAAGGTCCATGTTCTAAAATGCCAATGTGGGGACACACACCCCTGTGTGCTTGGTCTGCCCCAGCAGTGGGTTCCCGCTCCCCCTCTGGGTTTGGACTGCAGGCCAGAAGGGGCCTGGCATGGGCGAGCTTCTCCGCTCACCTCTGGCTCCTGAGGGAGCCTTCTGCATGCATTCTTTCCTGAAGAAATATCCCTCTTCTAAAATGGCGATGCGGGACGCACTCCCTGCACGTCCGGTCTCAGGCACACTCTTCTGCACGCCCGGTCTGCCCCGGCTGTGGGTGCCCGCTCCCCCTGTGGGCTCAGACTGCTGGTCTGAAGGGGCCTGGGGTGGGCTAACTTCCCAGCTGGCCACGGGTTCCTCTAGGAGCCTTCTGCAGTTTTCAAGAAAGGTCCCTGTTCTATGGGGTGTTAGTGACTTTTTTTTCTGGTCGCTAGGTGGCGCCAGAGATCTCTCCTAGTCCGTGGGGGGCTGTTTTTCTTCACCCCGTGGGACAGGGAACAGAGTGGGAATGGTAGGGAAAACCTCAACAGCTTTGGGGTGCTGTGTCTGCCTTGTGCCCCACTGACATGGAGGACCCACGCTCCGAATTTCGTGCCCCGGGTCTCAGTTCCAAAGCCCTCAGGTCCAGGACGCGGGCTGTAGCCCAGTTCAGATGCTGCAGGAATGGCGCCTTTTGCACCCGCTCCTGTGCCTGGGCACCTGGTTCCTGCTCACTCAGTGAGGGACTTTCACCTCAGTGAGGGCCTCCGCGCGTCTCCCCGCAAGCCTAGGTTTCCGCGCAAGCTTACTGGCCGGCCAGGGGCTGTGTGCGGGTCTCCAGAGTCTCTTTGTTCTCTAATGGCGCCCGGAGCTGTTTGCTCACCGCCGCGGCGAATCCTGCAGGGTTCTCCACAGCTCCAGTTCACGGGGTGTGGTGGCTGCAATAGTTCCTTTCCACTCACAGTCCCGCCTGATGCGTATTACGTTCTTGTTGGTCATTTTAGTTTGTTTTTTTTCCTCCTCTCTGTCGGTCGGAGAGTGCCGACTTTGTGGGTGGGGGAGGGGAGCAGGGTTCTGCGCTTTCCTCCCTTCTAGTCCTCTTTTTTGGCAACTTTCTTTCTTCTTCGGGTAGTTTGCTGGAGTCGTCTGTTTATCTTCCGTGTCCCAGTTCTCGCTGGGACCTGCCGCTTTTCCTCCCTATTAACTTTTTTTAATGGGAGATCTTACTAGCAGCGTCTCCTTGCCGCCATGTTGATCCGCCCTCTCTTGACATATTTTTTTTTTATTGCTGAATAGTATTCCACTGTGTATATATACCACATCTTCTTGATCCAATCATCTATTTTTTGGCATTTGGGTTATAAACACTTTAAAAAATTTATTTAAAATGGCTCAATAGTGTGCTGATGAGATGGAATTCTGAACCCTTCATTTTCACTATACTTGCTTTCTGCTAATCCATATCATTTCTGACTGGAGACACATTTGGAAATTTATTTCAACTGTTTTGTGTGCCAGAGTCTCCCACAGACACAGGAAGGAGAAAGGAGCATTTGGACTGCTGATATATCACTTGGGATCTGAACACAAGGTGGCAGAGTATGCCTGCTGATGCAAAATAGATGAAGGTTTCCTTCTGGTTGACTCTGTAAGCGTAGGCTTAAGACAGAAGCAGATGCCTGTGCAGACAGTTCAAGAAACCACTGTGCTTTGGAGGAAAGAAAGAGATAGGCTGGTAGCAGAAAGAGCTCTCCTGGCTGGGGATTGCAGGTCTCAACTGGGAGAACAATGAAGACAATTCTTGGACCTCTGTACCTGTTCTTATGGCTGCAGTTGGACGGTGAGTTGAGAGCTTTGGAAACAGGGTGTTCTAGTAAATACTAAGTAGAAGTCAGAGAACAGCTGCCTTTTCCAAATTGCCTGATATTACTGTAACAAAATCAACAAAGAAGGGAGAATTTTAGAAAATGATGGCTTGATGGCCTTATCTAACTTTTCTTTTTGTGCAGTGATGAGCAGAGGAGAAGAGGTGAAGCAGCATCCATCTTTCCTGAGTGTCCAGGAAGGAGAGAACTTTGTTATTAACTGCACTTACACAGACAGTGCCTCCAACTACTTCTTATGGTATAAACAAGAGCCTGGAAAAGGTCTACAGGTGCTTATACATATGTATTCGAATGAGGACAAGAAACAACATGAAAGACTCACTGCCCTCATGAACAAGAAGAAACAATTCTTCTCCCTGAACATCACAGCTGCTCATCTTGGGGACTCAGCCACCTACTTCTGTGCAGCAAGAGCACATTGTTTCCCAGGCACCTGCAGCCTGTACCCAAACCTGAGACTGAGGCTGAAGTCCCACTCTTTTCTGTTGTGACAGATCTGAACATCAGGGGTTTTGGTGTATTCCATTTTAAATATATAGATACTTGAAACATCCTTAAAAAAGGGTCACTTTCAAAATGATCCAGTAAGTATTAGAATATTTCAAATGGACACATGAAAGGAGTTAGTGATTTCTAAGTTAGATATCAAGGCTTGTGGGCTGACTTATGGATCTCATTCAGAGATCTCTTTACCAAGAATATTTTGGTCTCAGTGTCAGTGTCTTCTTTCTTGATGGAAATACTTAATTTTTAACAATGCTTTTATTAACTTTTCTGTTATAAAAATATGTGTTGTAATTTATGGAAAAAACCCAGAAAACTATAAAATATATTGTTAAAATGCACCTTATTATCCCGATAAATCATGTCTAACTTCATTGAAGTGTTGTTTCAAATAGGAGCACACAGACAGGTATTTGACTTACTTTTACTTCATATTTTATCCTAGCTTGAGCATTTTATATTAGTCAAATCTTATAAAACCTCTTTTTACTGATTTCTTGAGTGGTTTTATGCCATTATTTCATTTCTTCTGTAATCATACTTTTATGTTTGTAGTGAATGGCAATATGTTTTCTGAACTCAGATGTTACCTTTAAATCAATAATTTTTAGGGCCTCTCTGGTGGTGCAAGGAGTTAAGTACAGCACTATGAAGCTCTCCGCAGCCTCTGCAGCACTAGTTCCATCTCTGGCTGGCCAGGGAGCAACCCACGTGGTGCAGCGGACCTCTCCTGTCTAGCCCACTGCTCCCCTCAGCAGTGTATTTCAGTCAATCTGCCTGTTCTGTTCCCCGCTTTGTCTCTGGTTAATCCTCTCACTCCCCTCACATCTGGCCTGTACCCCAGTTCTTGTATGCATAAATAAATAAACCTTTAAAAATAAATAATTTTTAAAGCGTGATCATCAGTAATAACAACAGCAATATTAATAACTAGTATCTGAAGTGAAAAAACAAGGAATGGACTACAATAAGAAAGAAATTGAAAAAAAATAAAATAAGAGTTCTAAGTTAAAGGGGAAGAACAATTTTTTTCTCCAATTGGGTCACATCAGTTGCTTAGGTCAGAGCTTCTCAGACTTTTTCCCGAAGTATCCTCCTCACACAGCGAGTTCTTCCCTGAAGTCTGGGTGATGAAGGCACAGTTGTTTAGAGTAGTCTGGTATAAGTGCAAATAGTCTCATGCTTGCTGTAGGCGATCTTATTGTTCTGCTCAGTAATCCCATGTTAAAATTAATGCAACATCATCTTTTAACTATACTAGCTGGGCTATTCGCTAATTTTTTAGTAATAATACTGCTCCTGGATGATATATCACCTTTATCACATTTTTTTGTCTTGAGAGCCAGAGTTCTGTAATTTGAGAAGCACACAGTTGAGTGGGAAAAAAAAAGTGTAAAATCAGCAGACAAACAATAAATATGGGTTGAAGAAATAAATGCAGTACCTCACATGAAGAAGTAAATTACAGAGGGATTAAAGTAATTAAATCACAAAGTTATTAGTGAAAAATATAAATGCATGTTAGTCAACTGAATGTGGAAAGGCTTTCCTAACTTAAAAACAATAGAAGAAATAGGGGTCTCCCTGGTGGGGTTAAAGTCTCAGTTATCAAGCTATCACCAGCCACTGTGGCATGAGTTCAATCCCCAGCCAGGGAGCTGATCCACATGGCGCAGCAGACCTCTCCTGTCTCGCCTGCTGCTCCCCTCAGCAGTGTATTTCAGTAGATTTGCCTATTTTGCTCCCCACTCTGTCTCTGGTGAATGCTCTTACCCCCTGCATCTCTGGCCTACACCCCAGTTCTTATATGCATAAAAAATAGAATATAATCAAGATTTGATTATATAAATATTAAGAGCTAATTTATACTATGGAAATTAGACCAAAATTACATTCAAACCACAGTTTACCCTTGATTTGCTGTTAATTTGACATCAGATTAATAAATTTTCTGAATAATTTTTATTTCATAAAAAGAAAAATAATAATCTCCAAGTAGGTAGAAATAAGAAGATGTGATGAAGCGATTCACACAGGATAAAACAACATTATTCACAAACAGATGGTAATGCTTAGACCTACTGGCACTCATAAAAATGCAAAATAATTAAAAAGCTCATTAGAGAATTGTAGGAATAATGTAATAGTGATTTTTAAAAAGCATATGCAAAGGATGCAGTAAAATAGACTTACTCTAGTGGGAGAGTAAATTTAGAAGTCATTTTAGAAAGTAATTAAAAAACATGACATAGAGGGCCTCGCCGGTGGCGCAGCAGTTGAGCACTGGGTTGCGAAGCTGCCCGCAGCCTCTGCAGCGCCGGTTCGATCCCCGGCTGCTCCCCGGCCTCAGGAGGAGGGTCCCACATGACGCGCAGACCTCTCCTGCCGCCCGCTGCTCCCCTCAGCAGGGTACTTTGGTCCTTCTGCTTGCTCTGCTCCCCGCTCTGGCTCTGATTAATTCTCTCACCCTCCTGCGCTTCTGACTGTACCCAGTGCTTGTATAAATAAATGAATAATAAATAAATTAATAAATCTTTAAAAAAATGACATAGTAATCTAAAAACATTAATTTTTTATTGTAATTTTCTCTAGAGAATCTATGTTCAGGAAAACCCTCAATGCATATGGAGATAATTATCTACAAAGACATTTGGAAAGTTATTTATAGTGCCCAAAATGGAAAACTAAAATATCAGATCTTAAAGGGAAAGGCTTAATGGCCATTACGGAATATTATGTAGCAAATAAATGATATTTGTAAGGAGAAACTATGATTAATAAAAATCAGTAATTGAAAAGAATTAAGATATGAACTAGTGTGATTGCTACTTAATTAAAATATGAACAGTGCCAAGGCTGGAAAGTAATAGACTAAGGTGCTGATAATACAGATCCTTGTTTGTAGCGATTTTTCCTTTTCATTCTATTTTTTTACATTTTCTAAAATGTGAATTTTATTTGACTTAGCTTCTCTAATCTATTGTTTCTTGTACATTCTCTAAAATTCCTGTCAGTAGTAGTCAAAGCAACTGGAGAGGAAATTTTACTACAAATTGTTACTGAATAATCACAGACCAGCCAGTGGCCCTGGTTCAGTCCCCTGAGCCTCTAAGAAGGTGACAAGGACCTCCTGAATGTTTGTGCAGCCTCCATTGTGTTCCTTTCCTTATATTTATAACTCATGTTTATTGAACTCTTACTATCTCTGATGCACTGTAGAGAACAATTAATAAACATTAGTCCATCTGTTCCTCTTGAGAACCTCCTGTGGGTACTTCCACCACATTATAGACAAGGAAATTGCTACTTGGAGACACTGGGTGGCTTGTTCAAGCTCACACAGAATGATGAAGTAAGAGAGCAGAGTTTCAAAGTCAGATGGGTTTGAAACTAGGACACAATCTCTTATCTGTGTCTGTCAATTTACTTCTCCAAAATATGCTTGTGGACAATCAGATTAATGTGTAGAATTCCATTTTTATAACATTGATTGCTTGCTCAAAACCCTCACTGATTTTTTGTTGGCCAATAAATAGCCTACAAACTAATTCAGACTTTCAAAATCTGCTTCCTAGACCCAAGCCCTTCTTCCAATATCATTTCTCATGACACTGCAGCCCCTTCTTTCTTTCAGGTATAATCAGTCCAGTTCTTTGTCAATCTATCGATCCATGTATTGTTTAGGGCACAAAATGACTTAAATGAATTTGAGGAAGTGGCTACAATACAGCCATTTCAGCACTAGCAAAGAAGAAAAGAAAGAAATTCTGATGTACACAATCAAACAAGTATTCTAAAAACAAGTTACAGGTCCTCTCACAGGGCATTTTGCATCGGTTGGGAATCGTCACTATTTGAGTTCTTGCTGGATTTAAGCTGAATATTTACATGCACTAACCCAGCAGGATTAAGAGAAAGGCCCCTTGAGGTCAAAGGAATAATTTTCCTACTTTCGGGGAGGCGGATGGGGTGAAGAGAGGAGATTACCTGTCTGGATCTGAGAACGTTCCCAGCATCCTGCCGGTGCCTTCTCCTGGGCTGTGCATTCCCGAGAGCCATGACACCTGACTACTGCTGTGGGAACACAGAGTAGTTGGGTGATGGAATGAAGACCTTGGGAAACTTAATCATTTGTGTTATATCAAACCTTAATACTGGCAAATTCCATTTTCATGTACTGAGACTCAACAGTATTCCTCTAGACTTGCTACTTAATGTGAGATCTGAGAACCAACATCATCAACACCACTAAGCTTGTTAGAAATATAGGCTATCCAGCTCCACTCCAGATCTACTGAAATATAATCTGCATTTTAGAAAACTCCTGGGTGATTTGAATTAAATTATAAGGTTTCTCAACATTGAATTCGAGAATCCTTGTTGAACATATTCCAATATTGATAACTCGTTCTGAACACAAGATGGCAGTGTTTCCTATGCGCTCCGAGCCTCTGTCGGCTTTGAAACATTCCCCTTTAAATTGGCTGAGCAGGATTGTCACTGATTGGCTCGGTAAGAGGCTGTGCCTTCCTCCTGGGGATAGAGGCAAAACCCCATGGACACCCCTCAAACGGAAGAGAATGGCTTTTTGACTGAGGAAACGGAGTCACATTTCAGGCCAAGTGGAGGAGTAGAATGGAACCGTTCCTGGGAGTTGTTGTGATTTTGTGTCTTCCAGTGGGCTGTGAGTTGGAGGCAACTCAGGATGGAGGGGCTTTGGGATCCATTTTGCTTCATCTTTGCTTCTATCTGTGGTTGTGGGAAAAAATAATATTCCAGAGTATTATTGTAGCAACCAACCTCCTGTTTCTGGCTTTGTGTTTCTGTCTAGGGGTGAGCAGCCAAAAGATGGAACAGAATCCTCCGTCCCTGAGCATCCAGGAGGGTGAAAAGGCTGTTCTGACCTGTAACTATACAAATTATTCTCCAGAATACTTACACTGGTACCGACAAGATCCGGTACGAGGCCTCGTCTTCTTGGTACTAATACCTGAAAATAAGGGTGAGAAGCAGGCAGGAAGACTGAGGTTCACCTTTAACACCACCATCAAAAGGAGCACCTTGCAGATCCCAGCCTCCCAGCTTGAAGACTCAGCCACCTACTTCTGTGCTGTAGACGCACAGCAGGGCCCTGCCACCAGCTTCCTGCACACAAACCCTCACAGCCCATGGAGCTACAGGCTGTCTCCCTTAACCTCAGCTCCTGGAAAAATAAAGTGGGGGCCATCTGAAAGGAACAAAGGGGTGTAACGGCCCTGGATTATGGGAGGTATCCATCTCACAGCCTCAGTGCTGCTGTGACTGACTGCATGTCTCTGAGCCACTTGTGAAATTTGCAGGGCTCTTTCCTTATATGAAAATGATGGGCTAAATACATGCTCTCTTAGGTTTGTTTCAGCTCTAAAATTCAAGCAGAGTCTACTTTTTCAGAAGAATGCTTGAGGGCAAGGAAAGAGGACTTGTAGTTTTTAAAGAAAGACAGTTAATTTTGCAGTGACTGTGACTGCCTGTGACTACGTCAGAACAGCCCGAGAAACATATAGGTTAATCATACTCCTCTTAAACATAAATAAAAAATACATTCCCCTGGATAAAAAATAGTCCAAACATTTTGGAGACCCTTGTAAACTGAACTACAATTGAGATTGATGATGATGATATGGATACAGAATTGACCTGCATTCTTTGTTACTACTCATCTAGTGAATGAATCACCGTATTATATATGTCATGAACATCACAAAGATAGGTTTAGAGCCTTTGTTTACTGTGTGTGTGGTATCAGTGAGCATGTCTTTTAATTATTTTTTACATTTTACATTTTATTTATTTATTTTTTCATTTTACGTTTTAAAAGGACAGATTTATTAGGGAAAGGAGAAGGAAAAAGAGGGACACCTGCATTGTCACGGGGCAGGGGGGGGGAGGGGCCGGGGGCAGAAGAGCTGCTGTTCCTGTTTTGCAGCTTTTTAAAAGAAGGACCTTCACCTTATGCTAGTGATGAGTTCTGAATTGAGGGTCTCTCTCTGTCTCTGTCTCTGTCTCTCTCTCACTGCCATTTTTCTCAATCTCTACCATTCATATCTTGTCTCCTTTCTTGATTAATTTTCAGCAAAAGGACCAAACCAGACCCCAGATTCAGTTACTAATGATGGCAGGAGCAGTGGGCTTTGGCTGACTTTTTTGCCTCAATGTCAGTGTCCCGGCATGCTCTGGGTCACATGGAGTCATTGCCACAAGGGTGCGATCACTGTGCTGTTCGCATGTGAGTGTAGGGGAGAGGACCGAAAGAACTTATTTGGGAGCATAGAGAAGAAAATTATGAAATTAGAAAAAATTGAATCTGAGTAGACTAGAGTACACATTAGCAGTCAACCAGTCCACATCTCCTTATTCTAACATAACCTAATAGAAGAAGCCAGGACTAAGAAAATATGGGCTCAGAGTCTTTGGCACCTGGGATTTGTCAGAGAGAAGAGGAGACCTAGAGTAGAGATTATTAACTGCAGTTGGCTTCATTTTTTTTTTTTGTTCAAGAGAATATTAAATCACTTACTGATTGCACATGATAATAGATGATATGCCAGCCTCACTCCCATCTGTAATTTTACCTGGTATCATAATTCAATTTAGAAATATTGCCTGGGGTGTGCCAACAATCATTAATAACCAAATAAACTTCACGGCTCTTTTCATGGTGAACTCCAAGTCACAACACAGTAACTGTCAGTTTGACTATTCCAAGATTTCGGAAAACAATGACTTCTCCACTGAAGCAAGTTATAAATAAATTTCAAATGTAACCTGGTGTCATCCTAAGGAATTCTAACTTCTCACCTAGTTCACCAAATTTCCCAAGACTGCTTCAGAGTAGACCAACTTTGCACAGTGCATTAAAAGACAAAAAGACACATTTATTCAGAGTCATGATCAGACTATTACATTTAGCAATCAACATCATCGGTACAAAAACAACAACAACACAACACTACATTAAAATGCTTTGTTGGAAAGCTTTACACTTTCCATTGAACAGAAACTAAAATAACCTGTTAAACAATTAGTCACAAATACAGTCCTCAAGTTTTTGCCCCCACACACGAGTATTGTCTAATACTTGTCCTTGAAGCAGCTGGGCCCTGCCACCCCAGGGTTTGGCTGAGTTCACCAATCTGTTGTTACCTGCAGTTTCCCTGCCACTTCTCTGGCTCACTCTCCTGAGCTTTGCTTCCTGGCAGGTAATTAAAACCGTCTGCTGCTGCCACTGCAACTGCTGTTGCTCAAACCACTGTAGCCACATTGGTTTTGTGGTTTGGCAAGTGTTGGGTTAGTCTGCCTCCAAAGTTTCCTGCTTTCATGGATCTAATGTTTGAAGACTTATTGTTATAATTGCCAAAAATCATTGTAGCTTCCACCACCTTCAAAACTGCTTCCTTCATTATCACCAAATCAATTACAGCCATTCCCACCACCCATATGACCATCACGACGGCTGCCACCAAAGCCACCTCTACCATGGAAGTTTCCCCTATGATGAAAGTTGTCATTCCCCCAACATCACTTCCACAACCCAAATTTCCAGAATCACTTCTACTTCTTTGGTGGATGAAGTGCTCGCTATCTCTTGCTTAGAAGGGTTTTCTTACTTCATAGCTGTGGCCATTCATAGTGGCATTTCTGAATGACAATTATGTCTACAGAATCATAGACATCAAAGGTTACAAAAGCAAAGACTGTCATCTTGCCACCATTGCATCGAGTAGTCATCATTTCAATTAGTTCAAATTTCCCGTACTGCTCAAAACAATGTCTTAGGTGATGTTCTTCAGTGTTTTCTTTAACGCTGCCAGCAAAAATCTTATTCACAGTTAAGTGGGCACTGAGTATTTGAGAATCTTGACACAACCCTCTCTGTTTCCACATCTCTTCTATCCACCTTGTGTGGCCTTGCTTTCATGGCTGCATTTATCTCCTTCACTGTGGCATAAGTGACCAACCCAAAGCATCTAGAGGATTGGTGTTTGGATCTCTCATTACTGCACAGTCTGTGCGCATTTCCCATTGCTCAAAATGACTTCTCAGGTGCTCATCAGTTGTTTCAAAGCTTAAACCTCTGACTTAAACATGATGGCAATGGAAGGGGAGACTTTTATAATGCTTACTCAGCGTCCATGGACGGAAAGCCAGGGTTGGACTTCTTGCAGGTTCATAAACTCCTTGAAAATGAATATAGATGTATCAGTAAGGTTTATGTATTGTTTGGAAGAAATTTTTATCATATTTTTAAAAAGTGTCAATGAGCCACAAAAGATCCAGACAGTTTGAATAATTGTAAGCGTCAAGTCAGGAGAGGGGGTTGAGGAAGAATGGCGTTGATCACCATCTCAGGACAGAGGTGGGAAGGTGCTGAGAAATGATTGAAGGTAAAACAATTATTCAGAATTGAGTAAATTGTTTTGTTCTGCGAGGAACTAACATGTTTTCCCCTTTGTAATAAATGGGAAGTATAAATTCCAATTTATAATTTACAGATGGTATAAATTACTAATTGAGAAGATGGGCTTGGGGGCTCAACACAAAACTGTTCTCACTCTACCTGACTAGCTATGTAACCGGGCAAGTGTTTTGAGCTCTCTGAGTATTGTTCTCCTATTCTGCAAAATGCTAGCAATTACAAGTAAGTAATAGGATTAAATAAATTATTTAATTAATAAATTAAATTTAAATGAAACCCCTATAGTAGCAGGCACAGTTTACCAGGTATTCAACAGAAATTTGATTCTGTGGCTGGTTTTCTCATTTCCTCCATGAAGACCAGGCTTAAATTTTCTGCCCTGGGCATTATACTTATTCTTTCATATTTCTAGCTAACTAATATTTTTATCAATGACCTTAAAACCTAACGTATTGTTGTGTACCTGCTAGGTGCCAGGTACTGCTGGAGATAGCAAAGTGACTATACAGTGAGCAAATCAGACACAGCAGTGACTAAATCAGAGAAAATTTCTACCCTCATAGACCTTATGTTCTATTGGGGAGGACAGATAATATATCTAACAAGTGGTAAATAATACATTATGTAATATGTTAGAAGCTAGTAGGTGCTATGGAAAAAGTGAGGGCCTGTAATTTTTTTTTCAGGTTGTTGAATTATTAAAGTGACTTTTATTTATTTTTTTCTTTTTAAAAATATTTTATTTTATATAATTCTTACATCATTTTTCATCTTTGTACAATGTATGCATTTTCATTTTGGTTATATTCCCCATACAATTGCACCCCCCACCCCTTATTTTGACTCTAGTTCGTCCTCTCCCCTGCCCTTCCCTAATCCTCACCCCCCTCCCCCCCCGCCCCTGCCTGTAGTGTGTCTCTGGTTTATAGTTGCTTGTTGATTTTGATTATTACTTTGCATTGATTAGTCTTTTTCCTGGTCTCTTATTTAGGTTTTCTAAATTCCTGCTATGAGTGAGACCATCTGGTATTTTTCTTTTTCTTTCTGACTTATTTTGCTGAGCATGATCCCTTCTAGCTCCATCCATGTTGCTGCAAACTGCATGTGTTTATCTTTTTTGATTGCTGAGTAATATTCCATTGTGTATATGCACCACATCTTCTTGATCCAGTCATCTATTTTTGGGCATTTGGGTTGTTTCCATAGCTTAGCTATTGTAACTAGTGCTGCTATAAACATAGGCGTGCAGGTGGAGGGCCTGTAATTTTTAAAGAGGATATTTTGGATCATTGGAGTGACTGCAGTATAGCAGGGTATTGTCAGGTCATACCAAAGCCCTAATGTGAAATAATTGTGTAATATCAATTGATGGACAAATAATATGACAGTGCACCATACAGACAAAGGTTTTGTAGTAGCAAGAATAGAAAAGTTGATAGAAATTTGAATAATTATATGTTCTATCATAGTAAAGGCAGACAAAACTCAAAAGAAATGAATCTCTAACACAGTCACATTTTAATAGCTTTATCATATGACTCCTCTTTGATAATAACCACCTCAATGGTTTATTACCAGAAAGGGAGCCATATGGATGTCATGAAGCTTTTGCGTTCAATTTTACCTAAAAAAATTTTTTTGGTATTACATTTTGGAGCTGAGTCATTATATGGAATAGGCCATATTGACAGAGACTCAAAAATTAATTTATCGTTAAAATGTAGAAATATGGCAAAATTTGTGACAAATAATGACCTATTATGCTCAAAATGAAAATGTGTAAATTGAATATAAA